CCAACCAGGCACCCACATAGACACACAAACATATGACACAGAGAAACATCACAGTCTTGTTCAGATGTATTAAATGTACATGGTGAGAGAAACAAATCTTGCAAGTTTACCAGATGGATAGCATAAGGAACAAAGCTGTTACAGAATCCAGAAGTCCTGCTAGAAACATTTTGAAACCTCCTCCCAGAGGGGAGCAACAGAAACAGACCATGAAGTGGGTGTATGGGGTCTCCAACGAAGCTTCATGTTCTAAGCAAATAGCGCTTATAAGCAGCATCCTGAATAATGGGAAGTGAGCTTCCTATGATCTTCTCCACTGTCCTCACCACTTTCTGTATGGCCTTTCTATCTGAGGCTCTGCTGCCACCAAACCAAACAGTGATGCAGTTTGTTTTATTATGCTTTTATTGCTTTTATGCTATTATTTATTAAGCTTTATTGCCCTTTCATCTTTCCCTCTTTTACCCTCTCCCCAATCTTCTTTTTATGGCAGGATGTCTGTGAGCACCCCCTTAACCATCTAGTGCCTTAACCACTAGAAAAACTCCCCCTGCCCCCCGCACTGTTTTTGAACCTATCTCTGTACGGGTAGTCCTCAACTTACGACCATAATGAAGCACACAATTTCTGTTGCTAAGTGAGACATTTGTTAAGTGAGCTTTGCTCCACTATACGGCCTTTCTTGCCACCATTGTGAATCCCTGAAGTTGATAAGTTAGCAACAGGGTTGTTATGAATTTGGTTTCCCCCATTGACTTTGACTGTCACAAAAGGGGATCACGTGACCCCTGGACACTGCAACCGTCATAAATATGAGTCCGTTGCCAAGCGTCTGAATTTGGATCACATGACCATGGGGATGCTGCAACTGTCTTAAGTTTGAAAAACGGTCATAAGTTACGTTTTTCAGGGCCGTTGTAACTTTGAACAGCCACTAAGCAAGCTGTTGTGAGTTGAGGGCTATCTGTATGGAGGCATTGATACCAACTGTTGTAAGTCAAGGACTATCTATCAGAGAGATTGCTGCCACCAAGCTAAACAGTGCGTGATCCGTGTTGCCAATGTTCAGCTTCCCCAAGTGCCAATATCAACTCATAAACATTTTGTATACATGTTTTATAGCTGAAAAGAGAAAGAAGGATGGGAGAAGTTTCAAAGAGGAGGCAACAGGGTGGAATCAAAAGTACATTCCATTCATATTTTCTTCAAAGACTGATTAGATGACTGAAGCTTCTGCCTTGAAAAAAATCTAATTGGAGAGCATGAGACCATTTTGTAAATACACAATCAGTCCAGTGGTGGGCTGCTGCCAGTTTGGACCGGTTGTCAGCATTCCAGCAACCCTCCATTCCGCCCAATAACTCCGAGACAGACATCTTCTCAAAGGTTCCTTTTTATTTGGATAGTAACTGGCACAACTGGAAATCCCGAATCTGAAAGTTACGGGCTTCCTTACAATAAGTAAAAAACTACAAAATCCATCCCCTGCACCCATCATCACATCACATGCCCCAATCACCATCCGTCCCAAGTTAAGACTTCCTCTCACTTATGTGCAACACAACCTGACCTTGAATCAGAAAAAGAATGTTATTATGTCTAACTAGATATACTCCGCCCCTTCTACTTACTCAGGCTCACATGTGGCAGAGTGGGAGCATCTGACCTCAATATGGCTTCCAAAACTGACACCGGTTCCAGTAAACCGTACAAATGACGATCAGTTGGCCCTGACCACCCACCCCTGCCCAATCCTGTCTTACATTTCCTTCTTTTGCAGCTCAGCTGATACATGCGGCCATGTCGATTACCGCACCGCAGCTGTTCTACTTACCCGGCAAAGCTAGAAGGTGACCTGGAGAGGTACCAATGGGTATTTACTGAATGCTCCTGCACGCGTGAAGCATGCGCTCACAGAACCGGTTCTTAAACCAGTTGCAGCCCCACCATAGAATCAGTCCAAGCTTCGTAATTTTTCTCAGCAACCTTACTAACCTCACTTTGGATTTTGGGCCATCAGCGGGAAAAAGAAACAAAGAAAAAGAAAGAAAATTGCAGGCATACCTGGTTGTTCTTGCAAATCCACACGCTGTTCCCTTGCAGCAGGGTGAAGATTTTGGTTTTATAGCCTTTCAATTCCAGATAGCCGCTTTTTTCTGGAGGAGCTGCTGTCCGCGCTCGGGAAATTGCCGGGAGGGACCGGAGAGCAGTGAAAAGCATAGTTACCCAGTTGTTCCGTTCCTCTAAAAATAAGTGCACAAAAAAATGACACAGTGCTACACATCTATGCAGGCTGCCACCTATACACCCTTCACACTTCTTGAAATACAGGGCGTCCTTGACCTATGACCCCATTTGACCCCAACAGTTCCATTCCTAAGCGAGACAGTTGTTAAGGGACCTTGGCCCCCATTGTACGACATTGTTCTTCTGCATACTTGTTAAACGACTCGACGTGGTAGATCCATTAGTAACCAGTTGATAAGTGAACTTGGCTTTCCCCCGCCCCCATTGTTTTTGTTTGTCAGATCATAAAAGGGGATCACGTGATCCCCGGGACACTGCAACCACTGTTAAGTGAAACACTGAGGTTGTTAAAGTGGGGAAACACACTTGTTAAGTGAATCTCGTGGTTTCATTGTGTGTGTTAAGTAAATGTTGCCTCGTTTCTAACCAATTTTCTTGCCACACTCATGAACTGAATGACTGAAGTTGTTAAGTTAGTAAGAAGGTTGTTAAATGAATCTGGCTTCCCCAGGGACATTTCTCATCAGAAGATAGATAAACCTTCAAGTGGCGTCAAAGACTTGCTAAAATGATGCAAACGACCAGCTGTTTGCAAGGAATATAAATCCTTCCATGCTTTCTCAAAAGGCAACTGGACTTCCTTGCTATTCTTTGAAGACTTCTCACCCAAGAAGCTTCTTCAGCTCTGACCGGATGGTGGGGAAGGAAGGATTTGTATTCCTTGCAGACAGCTGGTCATTTACGCTCTTTTAGAGAGTCACTGAGATCACTTGGAGGTTCATCCCTGCCCTCTGCATCACCTGGGTAATGCAACTGGGTGTGTGGAACCTTCTTGCAACTGTTAAAAGGACTGTATTGTAGACTGGAGGCAGACGATGTTCAGAGAGGACTGTTCAATTTTTAATTTCTTAAGGGGAGTAGCCAAAGTGATGGAGAGAACATCGCATGAAAGATTGACTGGATCTCCTTCATAACATCACAAATTGTTGGGTATATGGATACACCAACTAGTTTTGGGTGAATAAATATATAAACCTAGGTTTAAGTGTTTGTAGCTTTAAGCACCAAACTGCAATGTAATTAGATAATTAAGGGTGCAGTTGCAAGCAGCAATAAAAGGCAGTGAGAGTAACGTAACACTTCCTGGTCTGCCTTCCTGGTGCCTGGTCTGGTCACTGGTCCTGGTCTCTCTGCTGTCTGCTGCCTGCTGTTTACTCCTGTATGAGACGTCTGCTTGTTGGCTACTGTGCTGGATACCATTTCTACTGAACAAAAGGACTGTTTACTTGGTGAGCTGATATCCTGTGCATACTCAGCGTTGTCTTCGAGATAAAGGTATCGTGAGGAGAAGATTTACAATCAGATAAAGACATTGTACTGACTAGTTAATGGACTAGGTTACTGGATGGATATATTGGAAAATGACATATGGACTGATTGACAATGCTTAAACTCTAAATGAATTAAATAACTATTTAAAACTACAAACAGTGTTTTTGTCTCCAGTGTGTGTATACTCTTGGGCCCAGCCTCTCTCTCATTTGGCTGCCTGGCTTGACTGCTGCTGTGCACTCTGCTTGGGAGTTTGTCCCCAAACACTAATACAAATACCATACAACCTTGGTCTTTGCGCTTTGTGTTTAGGAAGAACTGTCAGATTTACAGAATAAAGAAAATACTGAGCCCTTTACTAAGGGAACCAATGTATACAATTCTCCTTATTTATTCATCTTATTGAAGATTTCAATCCCATGCTATCATTCTAGAAGTTTCTGCTTTTCCTGTTCCAGGAATTGTCAAGATTTGGCGCCCCTGATGTGAAAGAGAATCAAATTCTCTGCAGCCCATAAAGGAACCCTTGGAAATGAGGCTCACCTTCCTTCTCAGCCCTGAAGACAAATATTCGGTGTGCCGTCACCACTTCAAACTTGTTGTCCCTGTGCATGCGGACTGTAGCTATCGCAGACAGAAGAATGATGCCCTTGGAGTAGATGTCCTATATCAAAAACAAAAGAAAAGCATGATGTCTCTTCACCAAAAGGCAAACTACCCATTCCTAGCCAAGCGACCACAACTTCCGTTTCTGTTCCAAAAGCTTGATTGACCAAAAAGAAGATTTTTTTTTTCCTGTCAAAAATGATAACCGGCCTTCATATTATTATTATTATTATTATTGCAAGCAGAGCTTCATGGTCATAACTTGTTTTTTCAGTGATGTTGTAACTTTGGAAGGTCACTAGATAATAAGTCGAGGACTAACTATATATCCCATGCAACAGAAAAAGAAACCAAGACACGTGGTCCAAAGATTCCTACCACAAAGAGTGTTTTATTTCCCGTGCATTTTTTTTGTACAGTTACACAAAAACCCTGGTCAGTTTGACTGCCATATTTCTTGTGGTTAAATCCATGCCCGCTTACATTCAATCGTATTGCCACAGAGGAAGCGTCTCTCCATTTCACCAGAATGATCTAACTCTGATGCAAAATTCATAGCTGTTTTTTTTTCATCCAGAAATTAAATTATATCCTGGCATCTACAGGCATCTGCTGACTAGATCTGGAACTGCAGTCACTGTCTACTTACAAGATTTTTTTTGAAATCCACGATCTCTTCCTTTTAAAGGTAAAGGTTCCCCTTGCACATATGTACTAGTAGTTTCTGGCTTTAGGGGGTGGTGCTCATCTCTGTTATAAAGCCAAAGAGCCAGTGCTGTCTGAAGACATCTCCATGGTCATGTGGCCAGCATGACTCAATGCTGAAGGCACACATAATGCTGTTACCTTCCCACCAAAGGTGGTCCCTATTTTTCTACTTGCATTTTTTACCTGCTTTCGAACTTCTGGGTTGGTAAAAGCTGGGAGAAGGAACGGGAGCTCACTCCGTGATGCAGTGCTAGGGATTCAAACCGCCGAACTGCCGACCTTTCTGATCGACAAGGTCAGCATCTTAGCCACTAAGCCACTGTGTCCCCATTCCTTTTCCTCTTCCTTTTACCAGCTCCCAAATCTTCCATTCTTAGAAAAAAGAAGGGAAGGGAAGGGAAGGGAAGGGAAGGGAAGGGAAGGGAAAGGAAGGGAAGAAGGGAAGCTCCATGGGAAGCCTAAAACTATTTTTATTGAAATTGGCCATAATAACAGACTTTAGAAAGTCTTATGGTATTCTGTCTTCTCCTTCTTATACTGCAGTGAATTAGGGAAGGATTTGCCTGAGCCACTTCTGAATGTTGTTTTGTGGTGGAATTAAAAATGCTTTTGCTAAGGAATGATCCCTGCATATTTCCATCAAGGAATGTTCCCTGCATATCTCCTTACTTCCTACATCTAATAACTTGCCTTGTACCTTCATGGAGAATAAGGATCAGACCATGAGTGACCCTGCTACCCAGAATCTATGTTTAAGCAGTTGTCTACGGCTACATCCAGACTAATAATTTGCTCAGAGTGGAATATGTATTATTTAACGCGACAGACTTACCTTGTCATTATTATAATAAGCCATGCTTTCACCATCAAACTTCACCCAGCGTTTCTGAAACACACGCTTCCTACATGGGAAGAAAGTCAAAAGCAATTTGAAAAAAAGGAGGAAGAGAGGAGGAGGAAGAAAAGGGGAGAAGGAGGAGTAGGAAGGAGAAGGAGGAAAAAGAAAGAGGAGGAAGAGAAGGAGGAAGGGGAAGGGAAAAAGGAGGAGGAGGAGGAAGAAAGGGAGGAGAAAGAAGAGGAGGGAGGAAGAGAGGAAGAGGAGGAGGAGGAAGAGGAGGAGGAGGAAGAAGAGGAGGGGGAAGAAAGGAAGAGGAAAAGGAGGAGATAGAGGAGATGAAGGAAGAAGAGGAGAAGGAGATCTGCTAGACAAATTTCCTTTTCTGTCTAATCAGTAAAGTCTACAGAAGGCAAAAATAGCCCAAGAGTTCTTCTCGTTCATCAACCCTCACCATAAAGGGTTTGCAACATCATGCATTCATCTCTGAATTCACTTGTCATGAAATGGGCCTTTCATGACACAAAAGGAAGCTCTCTGAGGAATCAGTTGCCTTTTATTTTTATTTACTTACTTACAGTATTTATTTATATCCATCCTTTATTTGTTTTATAAACAACTCAACATATACCACATACTTCTTCCTCCTGTTTTCCCTACCACAACAACCCTGTGAGGTAAGTTGGGCCGAGAGAGAGTTAACTGGCCCAAGGTCGCCAGCTGGCTTTCAGAACTAAGGCAGGACTACAACTCACCATCTCCTGGTCATTGACCCAAAGTCATCCATCTGCTTTCATGCCTGGGGCAGTACTAGAATTCACTGTCTCCTGGTGATTGACCCAAAGGGAATTAGCTAGGTTTCATACTTGAGGTGGTACTAGAACTCACCATCTCCTGGTGATTGACACAAAGTTACCTAGCTCCTGTCATGCCTAGGGCAGTACTAGAATTCACTGTCTCCTGGTGATTGATCCAAAGTGAACTAGTCAGCTTTCATGCCTGAGGCAGGACTAGAATTCACCCGTTCCCGGTGAGTGACTCAAAATCACCCAATCTGCTTTCCTGCCTAAGGTGGTGCTAGAACTCACCGCCTCCCAGTTTCTAGCCTGGCGCCTCAACCCGTAGACCAAACTGGCTTTCTACAAGCCTGTAAAATCGTCATAATTATACAATCATTATAATTGATTCTTTTCGGCTACGTACCCTTGAGGCGAGAGTTTATCGAGCCAACCTTCCTTAACCTTCTTCGCTGCCGGAGCGTAAAAGCAGGCATAAGGTGTGATTGTGTCTTTGGAGCCAGGGACTAATTCATCACCGCAAACATCTGGGGACAAAAACACCTGCTCTCTCACTTCAAGATCCAAACTCCCACTTTTGAATTCTCCGAGGCCCTTTGTAGGTTTATATTTTCCTCTCCAAGCGTAGCGAGAACAATCTTTCAATGAAGAGGATTCGGCTTCACCAACAAATCTGTTTGGAAGGGGACTCTGGTCACCTTGGGAGGTTAATTCAGAGTCTTTTACATTTTCAGAGTTTTTCTGATGTTGATTACTAGTAGCCAAACAAAAGAAGAAGAAAAAGAGGGAAGGAAAACATAATGTTACTTCCAGCATCCCATTTGCCTCCAAAGAGATGCTGGCACCTGGTGATTTCAGGGTGCAATTTTCCTGCTGATAAAACAGGTTGCTTTTCTGGGCAGGTGGCAGAAATGATGGAATAGAAATTATAAGCTTACGATGTCAACAGCATGTACAGAGAATCTCTATAAAATGTTTACAGATGGCACTATTCACCTGCAAGAACAGCAAATATGTATAAACATCAATCTGTTAAATGTTGGAAATGTAACCAAATACCATGTTTGTAATATCGTTTGTGGTGGGTGTGTCCCAAAGCAACAAAAAAAAAATGGAAAAAAATTCACATATGGCTGGAAATTGTGACAAAACAACACATAGACTTGAAACCTGAGACATTCCTATTGGGCATGCTACCAGAAAATTATAATAAAGGTAATACATATTATATATATATAAAAGCGAAATACCACTCACGCATCATCACAAGATCTCCAGAACTGTAAAGCCTACCAACTTGAAATTTGGCACGTGTGTTCCTCTTGGCTTCTAAGTGCTCACTAAGAAAGGATTTTTTGAAATAACCATCAGAGCATTAGTATTTCATATATTATTATTATTAACATGCTCTGATGCTAAGGAGTTCTACTCCCTCTCCCTACCTGAAATCTGCTCCAAATGCAAAACACAAGCAGAGGAGTTTCAGTTTCAGTTTTAGTTTCACAGCACCAAGCACCTTTAGTACAGAACAGTACTAAGCCATGCCCAGATTCCTTGCTGTCACACAGCAAATACTGTTTCAGTTTCCAAACAGCCCTCAACTCTCTCTCACACTGACAGGACACTAGCCAGATGAATACTGATGGATGCTGGTAGGCAGAGGCAGAATTCTTTTTTCCCTATTTTCCTCCGCAAAAACTAAGCCCGACCACATAGTTTCATAACGAAGCATGGATATCGAGCTAGTTTTACATATTCTAACAGCAGCCAGGATGGTATACGCACAATACTGGAAAAATGAAGAAACACCTACAGATGATAACATAATTAAAAAAACCTGGAATGTGAAGAAATAGGTTAACTCTAAAAATTAAAGAGAAAGAACATTCAGAATATGGGAACTTTTCTACAAATGGCTACTTGATAGATACAGGGGTTGGATTAGTGGATTTATGTGAAATATGGACTCCATGAGAAAGAAAAACTGATTAGTAAATATTTTTATGGTGATATAACTGATGTCAATATGGAAGATCGTATACTTTCTAACAATGATTGATATTATCTTATATATGTTTGTATGTACATGATTATAATGATTATATGATGTTTATATTCTAATATTTGGGGCACCTGGAAAATACACGGTTCCATATAGAAATGGAATTTGTGATACAAAAACTATAAAAAATACTTATAAACAAAACAGGTTGCTTTTCTATCTTCCAGCCAAACCCACCATTCTTAGGATTAGCTAGTCAATGACAAGCAACCCTTGGTGTCAACTCATAAAATACTTCTGTGGTCTTTTAGAGTTGCCAACAGAAAGGGAGAGGGAAGCAGTGAGCAGCTTGCATTCCATAAATGTTTTCAAAGATAGAAACTAGGTGACCAAGCTTTCTGCCTCACAAAAATTCTAACTGGAGAGTATGATTGATGACTCTTGGCTATGGATGTGTCCCACTGGAGAATATGAATTACGATACACCCAGGGGGTGGAGGGAAAAACAGGGTCAAGGGTGACAATGAATTATGTGTCTCAGAGTCAGATAGCTGCCAGGATTCTGACACTTAACCCCATTTAAATCATTCTGGAGTTTGGCTAGAGCCGTGATGGCGAACCTATGGCACATGTGCCACAGGTGGCACGCAGAGCTATTTGTGCCGGCATGTGAGCTGCAGGCAAACTTATCTCACTGGGCATGCCTCACAGCTGATTTTCAGCCAGTTTGCAGCCTTTTTTGGCCACCCAGAGACTTGAGGAAGGCTTCTGCAGGCTTTGCAGGCCGAAAACTAGGCCTGTTTCATCACTTCCTGTTTTTCCAAAAATTATCCTCTATTTGTCTTCTCATATCCGTTGCATATATTTGGTCTGCTCCAAAGGCTTAATCAATACAGCGTCTGTCCCTTCTAACACAGATTTAGAAGAGGAGAGGAGAGGAGAGAGAGGAGAGGAGAGGAAAGGAGAGAACAGAACAGAACAGAACAATGAAGAATGGAATAGAATGGAATGGAATGGAATGGAATGGAAGAGAAGAGAAGAGAAGAGAAGAGAAGAGAAGAGAA